CTTTTTTTTTTTTTTTTTTTATGAGAAAAATATTTAGTTGGTTCCTGAAGAGAAAACCAGGTTATTGTCTTTTACCCAACTTTAACTGAAGAAGTTTCATCTCAGCATGACTCTTTGACAGGTAAGCAATGGGATTTGCAAATGATAGGTGACGAAACACCAACATCCTCTGATGGTGGAAATGGACGGTCTAATTTGACTCAAATCTCTGAGCTTTGGAGTTGGATTTAAGAACTTAAGGAAATATGTCATTCAACCACTAGTGTTGAAACTAGACCCCTTTTAATACTATCCAAGGAATTTTTAAGTTGTAGTGGAGGTAGATATTATGAAAACCAGGAATATGAAGGTGAATCAGGGTGTGGTTCTTAAGACTGTTAGACGTTTTATTGCTTTGGTTTGGGTAAGGGGGGCCATCCCAATCTTTCTGCAAGCAATATGATGTTTGTTTTGCCAAAAGAAGTTTGAAGAAAAGGGCTTAGCCCCATCAAGGGTAGCCGAGCTCCGACATCAAAACATGTTTGGTACATGTTTCCTTGTGTAAAGTTGTATGATTGACACCTAAAAAGCTTAGTACACATACTTCTTTACAGTGTTTCTACTGCATAACTATCTCTCTCCTATGTAAATTCCCTCATTTTCTCCCCCCTTTTTGACTTAAGTTTTATAGGGATATCATTATGCCCCTTGTGCATGCATCACATCACATTGGCTAGATCTCCTTGGGCCCCTTTTTCTCTCTCTCTTGCAAGAAAGCACCAACCCTCCACTTAGATATTCCTTTTCTGTCAATTCACAAGTTTTTTAATGAAGGTTATGCATAGCCCCCCCAAAAATTAAGGAATGAAGTTGATGTGCATTTGTGAGAAGATTATGGAGAATGCATTGAATTTTGTCGATGGACCTTTGCCTCATAAATCTTTTCTTACCATCCTTTCCCCCAACTTCTTTAAAAGTTTACTTTTTTGTTTATTGTTTCTTTTTTTTTTTATTATTACTTTCTTCCAATTCAATCAAGGATATTCTTGTAGTGGAATATTGAATGCTGCTACACTTTGGAAAGAAAGTTTCCATAGCTGCTACACTTAGGTAACGAGGCATTTACAGGGGACTTCTACTTTTAATATTATTTTGATTCTTCTCTACAGAAGTACACATATATCACACAAACCCTAAACCCTAAATACATATATATCAAATAGATTACTTATATTCCTTCTATCAACTCCCCAAGTGGTCTAGGCTGTATTGTCTAATTGTCTTTTTTTTTAAAAGGTAGACTGAAAAATCATTTAATCCAGGTACATAATGACCATCAACATTGTTCTTTGAAAAATTGTTGTTGTAAATGTGAGTTTTCTCCATGGTGAAGATTATCTTGTTGTAGCTTTTGGGAGAGAGATGGGGGATCTTGGAACCAACTGGACCAGAAGAGATAGTTAAGAAAGTTGAGGAAGCTAAGTGCAGCCAGCAACCAGTAGAAGAGATCAAGCCTGTCTTTGTTTAGGTTGTTGTCATGGAGCCAGCCTCCGTTGGTGGAGCTTGATGTGATCTTATTCACCATGGACACTAGCAATGAGCTCAAGTAAAACCCAAATGAGTATGAGCAATATGTTATGGCTGTTAAAAATGCTTGCATCCCTTTTACTGATTGCTTGTAAAAGAACTCAATGAGTCCAACTGCTGTGAACATCTCTGACAATCCAAAAATAAGGAACTGTGGTGTGATCCAGAAGATCGATATCGTCTGGTTCGAATTCACAGCTGAATCTCTTCTCTTTTTCTCCATTATAGCTGCTGAAACCATCGAAAATGTGGAGAGGAAGAGGCCAAAGCCAATACGTTTTAAGGGTGAGATTCCAGAGGTGTGGCCAGTGAACTTTCTAGCAAATGGGACAAAGAAAGTATCATACAAAGGGACAATGAAAATGAGCATAATGTAAGGAATGGACTGAAGGGAAGCGGGAGGAATGTGGAAGGATTTGGTGAGCTGAGTATTCATCAAACTCCCTTGTTGAACAGAAAATGTTTGGAGCTGAGCCAATATTGTGTTGAATATAATCGTGCAAGCAAATATTGGGACAACTGATATCAATATCTTCACTTGCTCTACTTGAGTGAGAGTGCACAATCTCCATGGGCTTTCCCTGGTTGTTCCATCTTGGCTTTTGATACAAGCCTTGTCCAAGAACCTGAAGTTAAATTATGGTACAAAACTTCATCACCATGTCCAAAACTTCAAATTTTGATAGAGAATTTGGCTTTTATGTTCAAAAGATTTGAGCTTGTTTAAGGGAACTCTTAAGGTTATGTTGTGAAGTCCTTTGAGACGTCCAAATCAAGTTCAAACTAGAAAAGAAAGAGGACTTGCCTGAACTTTTGAGTGGGAATAAGGTTGGCAGAATGAGAGGATAAGGCAACTTTATGATTACTGGTTTGGCTTCCATGAAGCATTTGAGGGTTGGAAGGACAAACTTGCTTTCTCTTCAAAACAGCGGCAACAAAGACCTGAAAAACATATATATTTTCTTTGGATTAGTATGAGAAATAAAGTAGTTTTGATCCCACTTTTTCAGGACAAAATGACTCACCAGACAGCACTAACTTTTATGTCTTTTCAATTCATACATAAATGTTACTCCTTTTTTAATCAACATAACCACATTATTTTCAAATAGTCTCCCCACTATGACCCTAAATTGTTTACTTTCAAATTCCCATTATTTCTTTAGCTCAAAAATGGAAAAATAAAATCTCAACATTCCTAGCAGATTTCAATTCTATTTTAGTAACACAACACTTTCAACACAAAATCCCGCTTTTTTCTTCTTCGATAAACTTTCATATCGCATGTTTGATGAACATATAGTTTAAGATTCTTATAAAAAGAAGACGGAAATTATACTCAAACAAGAAGACGATTTAAAAGGAAAGGATTAAAGGAAGATAATAACCAGAAGAAAGTATAAAAAGGAAAAGAAAAGGGATATATGGTTTAGGGAACATGTTTGAGACACAAAAGAAAGCTTTTTCTGAAGGACACAGAGTTTCATGGTAAGTGTGCACAATACCAACACATGTAAAGTTGTAAAGAAAGAAAATTACTTGAAGAATTGGGATAAAAATGGCTCCTTGAGGGGGTTTATTCCTGTAGTAAAAAATACCGCCAACCAAGCTGATCAACCCCATAGCCATAACAGCAGCTGAGACTCCAAATCCAACGTCCATCCCAGAATGGGTTTGGATCCAAACAACAAGAGTGAGGGCAATGAGCTCCCCAATTGAGAAGGCAAAATAAGCAGCATTGAAGTATGTTGAGAGCCTCTTGGATTGGCTTGGATCTTGTGGAGTGAACTGATCAGCCCCATGAGCTATCATGTTGGGCTTCACACACCCACTCCCAAGAGCCACCAAGTAAAGTGCCACAAAGAATATCAATGCCTTTATCCCCTTGGCTTCCACGCAGTGATCTCCTTCACTTAGCATGTTGCATTGGGGTGGCTTTAGTTGGGGAAGATGAGCCTGAACTGATAGTAATATGAACCCCTAAAACAACACACTTTTTACCATTATTTATAACACCTTTTTTTCTTAGCTAATCTATCATGTATGCATGCACATGCAAAAACTGTATTTTTTCGAGATTATATATGTGTTGGCTATCATGGGTGAACCTAAATATAACTCAACTAGTAAAAATATATATCATCGATCGAGAGATAAAGATGTTTTGGATTCAAACCACAAGTATACGATAAACAAACGCGATGAAGGGGGAACTTACAGAAAGTTCAACAAAGCCAAAGATAAGCATTGTCCAAAAACTCCCAAGATAGGAATCAGAAAGGAAACCGCCAAGAAGTGCCAAAAGAAACACTGTCCCAACAAAGTTTGTCACTACGTTTGCAGATTTTGACAGTGAAAAGTGCATCTCATTTATCACATATGTTATCAGATTGTTCCCAACTGCAGCAATCGCCATTATCTCGAATGATTGCAGCCCTGTACGGACCGTATACAAAGCGATCGCTCTATTAGATTCAAAATTATCACAAGTTAAATATACGAGATCGAGATTCAAAACTATAACCTTTTATGATGCTTATTTTTCTCTCCTAAAACCCACCTCGAAAAAAGCTTTTAGAACCATTTTAAAAAAAATTCAAGCCATACCCTTTAAACCGATCAAACCCAAAATCAATATAAAAAAAATAAGAGAAACGAGAACTTTTTTATTTTCATATCCTATTTCTATTCATTGTCAGTCACGTCAGCAACACTTAAGAATGATGTAGAATTCAAGAAAGGCTCGAGAGAGAAAGAGGGTCGTTACCGAGAACAAAAGCAGCGGCTCTCATCCCGCCGTGAGCGACCGGGTTGGAGGGTCTTCCTCTCCAATCAACAGTGAGATCCTGAGAAGGCATGAGATGGGTGTCCCTCCTTCTCTCAATGTCCATATCCATATCCATTTCCATTTCCATTTGGTAGGCTTAGTGTTTGTTTGAGGTGAAGAATGTGAGGCAAGTTGTGGGTTTGGGCGTTCCATTTATAAAGCCAAAATAACTGCAAAGGCCCCCACCTCTCCACCCATCCATTTTTCAATAATATAACTTTTTTATTTTCTTTATCAAAATCAAACTCCCCTTTTCATAAATTCTTTGTCCATTATTCAGGATTGAATCGGGAAATTAAATCAAAACCCACACGCACTACAAACATGTGGATAACAATCTCACGCAACCAAATAAAAAACAAAAGATAGTGAGGTTTTGTGTTGGTGGCCCTCTCTTTCCGATGGGGTTCACATCTTTATACACCTTACCTTTTTTTTTTCTCATACTCCTCATTTCTTTCCCTTCAAATATCTTCGTATATACTTCTGTACACATTTTTCTCGCACCAATTTAAACATAACTCAACTAGCTAAGAGATTAGAGGGATAAATCTCCACTCTAACCGTTAGAGCTTCTCTTATAGAAATTTGAACCTTTTCGAGAAAACAAATCTAGCCTATATATTTTTGCCCAAAAAACGTCTCACCATAATAGTGTTGTATAAGTGAGATCTCACATTGGTTGAGAGAAGAACGAGACATTTTTTATAAGGGTATGGAAATCTCTCACTAACATACTTGTTTTAAAAACCTTGAGGAAAATCTCGAAAGAAAAAATCCATAATTTGAAAGAGAATTATGTAGGAAATTTAGTTGATCACAGTGAAAGATACTCGAATAATTATGTGTTATAGCATTCTTGAATAATATTGTAAATAGAAAATTGTTGTCTCCATGATCGGTTCAAAGTTATAATATTTAGGAATGGTGACGGCAGGGGGAGAAGATCCTTAAAAAAATGAAAAACAATACTTCTTTCATAAAGCTTTGAGAGGAAGGAACACTTTATTTCATTTTTTAAACCTAAAATTACTTTAATAATACCCATTATTTATTCAAAACAAGGATTAATTAATACTTAATTGGATTTAACTTTAATGTTCATTAAGAAAAACATGTCGGTTTTTGCCAAATATGTTCAATGAATTCCTTACAACTTTAAAAGAATGATAATAAGAAAGAAAAAAAAAAAACTTTAGGAGTTGCGGCTTAATAAGTCGAGGGAATCAATTTCTCAAAGAGTGAACCCTCGTGTAACTCGAGGGAATCGCTCTCATTCGGATATGATTTCGATTCATTCAAGTACCTCTTCTTTACTCGAGTGTCACAAATTTTGACCGTTTTGCAGATATAAAAGGATACATGTACAAAGTTTGAATGTTTTCTATAAAAATATAAAAATATAAAAATTTACGACGTGCACGTTTTTACATTACCACTTTAAATGACGTTAGCATGTATATAGTAACGAATCGGAGTCATATAAAAATTTAGAAAATAAGATCATTTGAATGTTTTCAATGTTAATTATAGAGCTGCATAAATTTTTGTTTCTAAAGAATGAAAATGAAGATAGAATGGTTCAAATATCTAAATAAAAACTCAATGTGAAGAAAAAAAAAAAAAAAAAAAGCTAAGTAACTAGCTTAGGTTTAGTAGACCTGATCTGGACACGTGGCAACAAGTTATTGGGTTGTCGGCAGAAAAAGTCAATTTTTTTTAAGTACAAAGTAAAAAATAGTGATGTAATGTGTGGGAGACAAAGTGGCGACATAACATCTTAGTCCCAAATGGATTCCATTTAATTTCTTTTTATTACCCTTATAATTACATTACTTATATATTAACCAATTGTATTTTTATTTTTTTTTTATCCTTTTTCCTTATTAAATTATTATGATATAAATCAATGCACATATCAAAATCATTAAAAACATGTTTTTTTTCTTTCGAATAACAACGTTAATTAAGGATACATGGAATCTTTGATCTTTTGATCGAAGAACATATTAATTACGGCCGAGAGATTTAACCCTAAAATTGATAATGATATAAAATGAAGCTTTGAAATGCTACTTTCAAATAGATTCAAATCATAAGCGTTATCCTAATACATAGAAACTAGACTAAAATTGATGAAAGAATCTAAAAAATTTCACCTAATCTAAACCTTTAGAATATGACAAGACATTTAATTGAATAATTCAAAATTTGAGGGCTTAAAAAAGTACCAAATCTTAGCCTTTTTATTTTAAAAGAATTGGGCTTTTCTTTTGATCTTCTCTTGATCTCTTTATCCTCTCCTAAAAACATGTAGAAGATTATTGAAAAGAGTAGCCCCACGTTAACTAAATAAGAAGAATATAATGATTTATAAGTAAAGAATACTATTTTCATTGAAACGAGACCTTTTGAATACACCAAAAGCAAAACTACGAGAATTTATGCTCAAACTTTTCCCTACCCAATAGTCGTTGTTGTTGCATTTTGCTTACACTCCCATATAACACAAATTTCAATTTCTCAAATCTTGTTTTCAAAACTCTCGTTCGAAATCTCTCTACCCCTGTTTTCTAAAAACTTTCTTTTTGAACCGGAGCCAAAGGCTCGCAAGCAAGAACGAATAGGCTTAACTCACTTGTTGCTGGGAAGTGAGTGCCGCACAATCGCAAGTCCACTGCCATTAAAGTGCGATTACGATATCAGATGTAAAATCAAGGTCAAACCCATTAAAAAAAAAAACAAAAAGAATAGCACTTTCTTCTAAATAAATTGAACTTGGACACAGGGGATGAACTATGTATTTATTTATGTATTGAAAGAATGATAAAAGGCTTGAAAACCCTAAGGCTCCAAAGGTTTGGAACGTTTGATAAAAATTAGGTCAAAAAAGGGGAAGGAATGGGTTGGTGGTTGAGGTACCCTTAAACCCTACAATCAAATATAATATCAATTCTTTTCTCCTCCTCTTTTCCAACTTTGGTGCAATTCCAACACTATCCCCACCCTTTCTTCTTAATCTTTATCTGTTTACGTTTTTTTTTTTTTAACGTCTTCGTTCTTCCTACTAGCTTCGGTCCAACATAAACATTCATTCAAATTATCCATTTTAAGCTCGAAACATTATACAAAGTCTTAGATATTTATTTTTTTGAAGGCACTCGATTAATATTGTAAATTAGTATAATTTATGATTTTTTCAGTTATCCAAACGAAAATTCAATTACAAAATAATATTGATGGAGTAATTTATTTATAATATGCATATATTAAATAATTATTACCATATTTGACTTAATTTGTGTTGCTAGCTTTAATTTAATGGAAGTAAAGCTTCACACACATGTGACCCATTTACCTACCCTCTAATGCATTAGTGCTTTCTCAACTATCTTTCTAATTAATTATTATTATTATTATTATTATTATTTTGGCATTGTGTATAAAATAAAGGAGGAAAAAAAACATTTTTTTTTATTTATAAATTTCTGATGGATAAAAAGTCAAAGGGTTTGACATTGAGAAGATCTAAAGTGACAAAATTTTGCCGAAAGCTTTATTATTATTATTTTTTTTTAATAGTGGAATTTTGATTTGCACTGCGAGGATCCGTACTCGTGGGTTGCATTAGGTTGAAACATTTTTTAGACTCAACTTAATTGTTGGGGTCGGAAAAATATAACCACATGGAATATGATTCATGACGGGTAGGACCTACTTTTTTACGATCGTTTCTTCGGTTCTACTTTCGTTTTTAGGTAGGGTTGGATGCACAGCTATTCTCTACATACGGTCATGTAGCCATACAGGAATATTCGTAATTTAGTTTTATACAAATTTATTATATAAGATACTTTTATTCATATGAACGATTTAAATCAAATTATTTGTAATAATTATAAACTAAATCGTGCTAATAGTATTACCAAGATAAGATACCCAATCTTATCGATGTACTATAGATTATTACTTAAACATGATTCTCTTGTATAATAACTTAATGTTGTTCATAATTACGCTAATAACCTAAAAATAAATAAAATAAAAAATGGGAGAGATAGCAAAAGGAAATCTTGGGCATAGGCATAAGAAACTCTTAAAATCTTATGTGATGTAGACAACACAAAAATAAATAATATTTGAATCGAATTGTACCAAATTATAATGAAAGTGAGAGAGACATTGAAATCTAATAAGAATAATCCTTCTAATTAAACCCAAATACACCACTTTTCTAGAACTCTTTATGTTTTCTTTTCCAATACATAGCCTTCTTCCTAGCTTAATTATGAGCTAGTTTCATAGATTTGGTCATGTTCTTCCATGTTCGTGGTTCAAGTTTGATCCGTAATTCATCATTTGAAAGTGATATTGTGTAGCAAATTTAATGGATCATAACATTTCTCTTTTTGTGCTCAATAATGAATAAATTATTTTAATTTCCAGATTTTTAGGGATTCATGGACCTCGTCGAAGTTTTGCTATAAAATTAGTGAACTTACTATTCATGTAATGCATATACTGTTATGATGATAGTTGAGAGTTATTAAAACAGATGTTTATTTGTGATTTAGTGAGCGTTGTTATGAATGTTAGTCACATGAGCTACAAGTAATGCTATGTTTCAGAGTGTTCTATGTTGTACTGTGTTATTGAACTATTGGTAGTTTATATTTTATGATCTCATACTCGTTGTATGAATATAGTCATAATTTACATTTTGCGTTCATTTCTTTTATGTTGTGAATGGTTAAACGAGCGTACTTATGCCCCTAGTCAGGCTTAGGGAGTATAAAGAGACGGTTGCTTAGCGGGCTCATGTGCATGTGTACGGGTCGTGTGTAGGGAAGTAAAACAGATCTAATATATAATATATATATATATATTTTTTGCATGAATATTATTTATAGTTGAGATGTGACATGCCCACATTTGGCTACTTGAATGGTTGGCATAGGCCAAGGCGTCCCTAGTGCTATTATGCTCATTCATTTTCTTCCTTGTCACAATTTGTTTCATCATCACCATCCATGCACAAACACATCACACAGTCTTCTAAAATAGCCAATCCACAGTTATTTAATTATTTCATTATAATTCTTATTTTT